AATATTATCAACATATATATATATATATATATATATATATATATATATATAGTTAATTATATTATATATATATATAGTTAGTTGATGCGTTTTTTCGTCCTTTAGGACTTCATCAGAGTAAATGTAAGTTTACGTTGATACGGCTCCACATACGAACAAAGGAAAGTGGTGCGTGGTGCGTAAACTATAATTTCAATCCTATGAAGTCCTAATGAACGAAACGCGTCACATGAAAACTTTATCCACTCTGTCATACTTCTTTTGCTCGGAATTGTTCTTGAAATATAAAATATACAATATATGGTATTCCCATATATATAATATATATATATATATATATATATATATATATATATATATATATATATATATATAATAAATATATATATATATATATATAACAAAGGCTATTCTTAAAAGAGTGCTCAATACAGAATAGAGCAAATATAATTATTTATTCAAAAATTATTATATAAATATGTTATAAAATCACTACAAAAATAGCCATTTTGTTTCAACACTTCTCATTCAACACCATCACTTTATAAGACACTAGAAGTATTGAAACAAAATGGCTATATTTGTAGTGATTTTATAACATATTTATGTCATAATTTTCGAATAAATGATTATATATATATATATATATATATATATATATATATATATATGAAGAAATATAGTTACAAGGTGTGATACAAAGTGTGATATAAAGTGCTCAATATCAGATATAGGGCGTATGTAAATATAAACGAATATTGAAATCAACACTCAGAGGCGAGAGACGGTTTCATGCTGAACATAATCACAAACGAATATATATATATATATATATATATATATATATATATATATATATATATATATATAAAAAATATAGTTTTTCAAGCTTGCTGTATAAATGGCTAAAAGTTGTCAGTATCAGGGATAGAGCGTGGCAAATGTAAACGTGGGTTGAGCTCGCCGGGTGGGAAATTGAATTTGTAAACAGTGACTATTACTGCTGCTGATGCAAGAATCTTCGTTAAGACGAGTTCTCCAGTCACTGGCGTGTTTATCTAAAAATGAATAATAAATAAATTCAACTTCATCCCGCAGTGCGCCAGGACTATACTAAGTCTCCGATTGATATCAAGTCGGTCGGGTGAAACAACGAAACAGTCTAAAAATGTGAATGACAATATATATATATATATATATATATATAATTATTTATTTAAAAATATGATTCCAACACGCTACATAAGAGTTCTCATGTTTCAAAACAAGAGCCGAAAACTTCAATATAATTATTTGAATTAAATTGAATTAAAGTACCAAGCTCTGTTCCATCTTCAAGCGAATTTTTTTTTTTTTTTAATAACTAATTCTTGGAATTTACGCGTTTTATAAGCATATTCATTATTAAAATTAAAATTACTATGGTATCGGCTAGAGCAATTATTTAAAAAAAAGGGGCGTAAGGGTTAATAATTTGTATCAATATCTCAATTACATTCAAAGTGCTCAAGTCATGTTAAGGTTGGGGTGTCTAAATTCAAAGCGGAAGATGACATCGTCTAGTCTGGTTAAATGTGTATGGAGATTTATTCATTTTTTTATTTTATTTTTTATTTTTTTCCTGAAAGGGCTTTGTGTATATAAAAAAAACTGTCATAATTCGCTAACATTTGTTTTTTTAACGACTTCGGGCTGTACAGAGATGACGGGCTCATGGTAGTGAGGAGTTCCACGAATTTTAAAATAGAGAAAATTAGAAAGATTATATATAGAGAATTTAGAAATCTAAATTTAAAAACAACAGTCTGTACTAAATTAAAAAGGGTAAACTTCCTCGACGTAACTCTAGATTTAACAAACAACACATACCTACCTTATAGAAAACCTAATCCTAACCCCTTGTATATACACCCTAAGTCAACCCCCCCTCCATCCATAATTAAGCATATACCCTCATCAATAGAGAATAGAATCAGCATTAATAAAATAATATACTATAATAGGAGACTGAAAACAGCCGCGCCTAAAAGATATAAACACTAAAAAGTCCTCAATACAAAAATCCAAAATAGAAAGCAAATATTTACGAACACACTAAAAAGAAGTTTACGTTACTACACGGGTTTCGACCGCAAGGACTCTTCAGGCAAGCAGAAGGGTGGACAATGTAGTATATACTTATATAAACTATATTGCCACAGGAAAAGAGAATGAAAGGTGTAAAGTTGAGGAGAAAGGAAAAGGCGGAGGGGAGGGAAAGGCGGAGGAGAGGAGGAAAAATTTATCCCTTACACTCATCCGGGTTCATACATGCCCCAAAGATATTTACTTAAATGCGTGCTCTTTGCCATATAACCAAAGTTCGTTGTCAAGTTTTTTGAATTCTCATATTCAGATCAAGAAAGAAATTCGGATTGCTAACACAAAAACAGAGAATGTCTCATATCGAGAATATTTAACATTGAACATAAGGAAAAAATTAATTATTTTTAATAATATGTAGGAATCTCCGCTTTTACCTGAAGACGGTCACGAGACCAGAAACACGTGTAGTAAAATTATATAAAACAAAGCATAACATTTTTTCTAAATAAATCCACATTACAACCAAAAACGTTTGCGGCACCTCTCTTCTCTTCCTTTTAATATACATACTTTTCTCTCGTTGGAACCACTACAACCTTCTTTATATATATATATATATATATATATATATATATATATATATATATATATATATATATATAATTATTTATTCGAAAATTATAACATAAATATGTTATAAAATCACTACAAAAATACCCATTTTCTTTCAACACTTCTGGTGTCTTATCAAGTGATGGTGTTGCTGTTGCTTTTCTCTGGCACTCCTTATTCCTAGTTCCCATATTGTATTCATTTCTATGCTTGGTCGGCTCAGGAGATTTTTGTGGCCTAGCATATACACAGTGAATAAAGGCGTTAGTTAGATCCAGTGACAGGTCCCAAAGAGTGTGAGTTCAATACCCGGTTAAGGCAGTGCAGAACTTTCAGAGGGGAATTAACAGGAGATAACTGATAACTGACATCCATTAAACCTGACACGTGAAACTAGACCAGTGTTGAGATGTTGAGTGTTTCGCCGTGCGTGTATTGAAATAAGGACAAACACATACATAGGGAAAAATACTGGTATATCTGAAGAGCTATTTACAACAGAGAGATTAGTAGTCAAACGAACGCAGGTTAGTCAGTAACAATCAGAAAGAGTATAAAGTCTAATTGTATCTTCCGGTAGAGAGACGGAAGTGTGATGGTCACCTGATCTCTCAGAACTCTATAGAACTGTCCTATTAGTAGTAGAGAGATCAGTCCATTCTGATGAGAAAGTGGGTGGCCACAACAAACAGTCTACCCTAGTTCGACATTCCAACCACTTGAAGAAGGTCGTTATAATAAATATGGCGACAAAGATGAGGACAATAGTCCGAATAATGTAAATAATGTACATAATACCTCATCTCAGAAATATAGACAGATAGTAATTTGTATGTTTGAAACTTATAAGAAACAAATGATCGATCGTCTCGGATGTAAAGATTTGGGAATGTTGTGAGTCTGATTGAAAAGGCAACAAAAAAAACGTACAATATGTTATGTCGGTAGAATCATTGAAGTACTTTGCCTGTCATGGTCATAATGAGATTAAGAAACAATTATTAGAAGTCAGCTTTCATCTCCTGAAGGCAGGCTTGTTCCTCAGTGAACTCTTAGCCCCAGGGACAATCGAGCATGATAACCGATAGGATAACATCGAGATTACACAGGCCTCGTTACACTCTGAAGTCGAAATACGAGTATGCTGTAATTGGGTTGCCCTGGGAACATTGTTTGCGTAATAAACTGACGGTTAAAGCTCCAAGGGAGATTTTTTTTTTCTTCAAAAATTCCTTCTTTATTTCTTTTATTTCTTTTACTTTTTATCCGTCTTGTAAATAATATTCTGAGGGTTAGAAATAATTGACACAATTGCAAACAGATTTTAAACGAAAAATAAACAAGTTAAAACAAATTTGCACATGCGCAGAATTGCATAGAGTTCAGGCGCACAGGGATTGGGGTTGATACCACATCAAGCGCGCGCGCACACACACACACACATACATATACAACACATAACAAATACAGCTATACATTCATATACAAATACACATACACACACACGTACATATATTGCATTTGATACCCTATCGTAACCCGTGTCTTTGTCTCAGTCGAAACAAAACAGGAACACACACGCACATATAAATACACACACACACATATAAATACACACACACACACACACACACACTTATGAATACACATATGCACTTATGAATACACACATTCACATACGAATATACACAAGCACGCATACATTTGCACGAATGTACAGGTACCCATTCGAATGCAGATATACATATTCCTATAAAAATTACACGTACTCATACATACACTCACACGCACACATACCAATGCACACGTACTTATATACATATGCAGATGAAAATACACATACTAATACACAACTGCTGATAACACAATAAAACGGAAGAAATGTATTGATAGGATGTGACCACATATGTACACAGACACATAAACACGCATACATATACAAATGCACACACGTACATATATGCATACATATACAAATACACATACACTTACAAATATATAAAGGTGCACATTCAAATACGCACATAAGTATATATACATGCATATCAAAATACACATACATACATAAATACATTCACAAAATACACACATACATATATACATACACAGATAAAAACACACACATATAAGTACATGCACACACAAATACACAAGCACATATATACATACATAGATGAAATCACATTTACTTGCAAATACATACAGTTAGACATGCAAATACACACAGGCATATATACACATGCATATAAAAATACACATACATATACATATGCACACATATATACATACACTCGGGTGACTTATGTTGAAACGCCGGTTCTCGTATGATCACCGAAGTTAAGCTACGTCGATCCCGGTCAGTACCTCGATGGGTGACCGCTTGGGAATACCAGGTGCTTTAAGTGTGGATGTGCGGGCGGTGTAACCAATAATGGCTTGGAATTGTTAATCGGAGTACTGCGTTCGCTTACGGACAAATACCGTAAGGAAATTTATGAATCCACCTCTCCTCTCCCCAGCTATGGGTTAATAAGTAAAAGTTGTACCATTAAACCATTATTATCTTCAAAATAAAAATATAAGTTTCTAAAATTCAAAAAAATATTTCCTGGCTTTAAATAACCCGCAAAGAGTTGGTAAGTCGTAAAAAACGAATCATTCAATAATCCAATCAACATATATTTGTAAATATACAGACGTGTGTATAGCGGATTTTTAGCGTGTTTGTTTTTAGTTTCTCGAATTTGGTTATTTACAGAGTATTTTTCCTAAACAGTCGCCATATTTCCGATATAGTGACGACGTTTTATGAATATATCCCCGTAAAAACATATTGCCTGACCTTGTAGATCAGGCGATGTTGTAAACAGAGTTATAAATACGACAAAATGTACTTATGGATCAGAAACAAACAATACATTACCTTTCCTAGATATCATGTTATACCCGTACTGATAATGACCTAAAACTAAGTGTCTATCATAAACCTACTAGTAAAAATGATATCGTAAATTTCTATTTTCACCATAACAATAAAATAAAACCTGGAATAATTATCGGATTCTGTTTAAGTGCACTCACGATTTGTAGCCATCACTATTTACGTGAAGAGGGGAAATACATTGAAAACACTTTTAAATCCTCTAATACCCGAATTGTTTTATATTCGACGCGAAATAAAACGAAATTAATATATGACTTTACCTACTAAATCCATCGCAATTACAATTGAAAAGAAAAGATTTCTTTCAACTACTTCGAAATCAATGCAAGACTTTATGCAAAACAAAAAGATCTTAAGCAGGAATTTACTCTCTAGTCAATAATGATTTCGACTATTACCTTTTTTCCTTCTTATAATCATCTTTCAAAATATCTGCCTCTCTAGACACGCATAGAAATAAATCAACTCTTATACAATTTCTGTTTTCGATGGTGAAAATGCTGCAAAGATCCATGGGTCACTGAATGTTTACGGAAAGGCTGTATTTGATGCAAGCACAGTAAGGTGAAGTCTGGCTGTTGATTTGAGTCAGTTCAATGTATATGTTATAGAACTTAGGGAATAGTTAAGAGCATTGTAATTGTTCTGTAGATCCAGCCATCATGATATAATGGGGGTATCCTTATTTCTACGGCCGCATCACGCTGAAACAACGAATCTCCTATGATCACCGAAGTTAAGCAACGGCGAGTTTGGTCAGTAACAAATGGGTGGCAGTTTGCGAATACCAGGTGCTGTAAGCGTGGAAGTGTGTGCAGTGTAATGGATAATGGCTCGGAAATGTTAATCGGAAGCTGAAATACTGTTGGGAAACAACAGCAACTTCAGCAATGAGTTAATTAGTAAAACTTGTATCATTAAATCGATATTATATCCCCCCCACCAAAAAGGGTTGATAAGCCGTAAAAAACGTATCAATCAATACGTTACTGGACACAACTTTGACTTTTTTGTTTTTTTAAATCATTTCCTCTCAAGGAAGTTAATAAAGCTACTAAGGCACAAGATGTTACTGAAAGTGAAAGAAAGAAAAAGATAAACGTTATTAAGGAGCAGAAACAATAAAAGAACAGGAATTAAGAAGATAAAAGATAACGATTGACATTGCATTTAAATTTTTGAAGATCAAAGTTGACTAGACAGAAAGAAGTCGGAAGAGAGTTTCACCAGTGAGAAGTGCAAGAGAAGAAACTGTTAGCATAGAACTTGCGGTTACATCCAGCTATTTCATCTGTAAAATGACGAGACCTTGCCGCCAATCTAGTACTGTCGCTGAATTCATTAAGTGTAGGTAACATAGAGGAGATCAATTGCCATGAACGGATTTATAGAAAAAAGACACAGCAACGCATTACTGCGGTGAGAAAGTGATTGAAGATGAGATGCCCGGTCAGGACCAATAACATTGCAGATTCTTCTTTGGTGTTTAGGCGTGTTTTTGTATTTTTCGATACAAAATTTAAGAGAAATAAAATAAAATTTAATTATTCAAGTCTTTAAGTAGTATTTTTGCCAGGATTACTTATTATTTGACGATCTTAGATTATAGATTACAAGTAATCATTAGAGTTGCTTTTGTTTAAGTTAAATTTCCTAGCTTATATTTACCGAGTGGAACTGTAAACATGGAATTATAATTTTCATCGTTTTTTTTCTGTTTTTTTTTTTTTTTTTTTTGGCAGAGTGAAAGAGATTTTCGGAATAAATACGGTGTTATAGTGAAGGGAACAAATAATTCTTTTTAGGTTAGTGAATACGACAATTTAGGACAGAGTTGACAAATGCATCCTTAGATGACAGTTGTGACATTCTGTCATATTTTTCCTATAGTTTTCTGAAAGAATCAATGAAAATAACTAAAGTATAGTTTGTTCAAATAATTAAGATCACTAATTTCTATAGGGAAAAGACTCAGGAAATCTGGTTTTTATTGTCTAAGACAGAGATTCTCAAACGCCGAGTCACGGCAAACTAGTGGATTCGAAATTCCTTAATAAATGTTCCTTCTAATATTGGACTCCAGTTATCTGAAGAAGAAGAATTGGCCGCCATTTTTAGTGATCGAGTGCTGAAAATAAAACATTCGACAGTAACCATTGATACATTTTGGATTTCAATACAAAAGGAATATCCGACATTAGCTAAAAATGCTTTATCAGTTTTTATTGCAATTTTCTACTTATTTATGTGAATTAGGCTTCTCAACCCTAAATAACATCAAAAATAAGAAGTGAGAAAGACTACGCACAACTGAAAAAGAAATGAGGGTCCGCTTATCGCAAATTCGACAAAAAATTGAAGGAATCGCGAAAAACACGAGGCACAGGTTTCACACTAAATAAGCTGCACAAATAGTTGAATAGAAACATTGAAATAAGGTAAGTTTATATTTGTGTGTGTATATTTTTTTAAATCTATGATTTTTTAAATAACATTTAAATGTATACCCTTTAAAAATGTTGCTGAGTGTGCCCTCATATTTTAATTTGCTGCTAGGTGTGACGTTGTAGAAAAAGGTTGAGAAACATTGGTCTAAGATAACCTTTCAGGATATAATGGTAGAGTTTACTAGTTTGGAAACTCATTCAAATTGCAATGTAACTTTACTTTTTCAATCTCCTTGATCGAAATTTTAGATTTAAGAAGAACAGCAAAAATAATTTGAAAAGTGAATTCTATTAAAAGAAAAATTTTCCAGAAACGTAGCATTCGCAAATGCAAATTATAATAAAAATTAAAAAAAAAAACTGTAAACAATTCTTGTAAAAATTTATTATTCATCGAAAAAATGTTTTTCTTAAGACAATAGTGCCTCTAATATAAGACAATAGTGCCTCTAATAAATCTGATACATAAAAGCAATTAAAAGCGTTTCTAAATAAATAATGTCTTAGTTTTATTGTATTTTTTATTTTATGATTCAAAGCAGATTTTTGGTAACTGGTGGTCCTGTTCTAGCAAACAAAGTTGATTATTTGAATTCTCCAAAGACTTCTGGTGATAAACATTAGGTAGTACAAAAATGAATTTCATAAAATTTCATAAAATTAAATACGTGTGAGATAACAGATGTAAACATATTTTTCTGAAGATTTTCTAAAAATGAAACATTTCACAAATAATTTCATTGATTTGTGAATAAGTCTTGAAAGTTTAATTAAAATCTGACAGTCATTTCGTTTTTGTAAGAATTTCCAAATCAATGTGTTTTTTCATCGTAAAAACAGGCTACAATTTCCTATCCTAATTTATGGTCACCGGCTGATGCAAGAAAAAACATTTTAACCAAAAATTTGAAGGTTCTAAAAAGGGTTAAATAATTTAATAATCAAAAAATCGTTTGGTCTTTCCTCTTAATAATAACAAAGATTTTGCCAATAAAACTTTAAAAGTTTGGGGTATTTTTTCATCATAATATGGTCAATTTATAAAGAATTTTGGAGGTGCTATGTTACACCTACCGTAGCATGATGGTTAATTTTTGGGTTTTGGTCTCAGACGAAGCAAAACATAGGTATTTCGGATGTGGTGGTTAACAATTTTGTTTTATAATTCACTGCAATGAGGAGAGGGTCAAATAAACTTACTAGTTTGACATATTTTCCAAACAGTATTTTAGAAGGACGGAAAACTTATTTTTTCTTTTAACAATTTAATTCTCACAAAAACCAATATTTTCCATAAATGTGTCAATCAGAACCACAAAATCTTGCCAAATCGATTGGAATAAAATATTGGTTCTTGTTAAATATTGTTTCGGGAGTACCTTCGCGGGAGTTTGTTCAGCAAAGCAGCAGTTCTGGAGGTAAAAGCGGTCTGTGCGGAACTTCCTCCTTACAAATAGAATACGAAGGAAATGCCTGTGATTAAACCCCATGAATACATATAATTGTATTCATTTTAGATATTTGAATTACTTTTGCAATGGTATGACAGCATATTTTGTTGAGTTCTTGCTGTGCTGAGGTTTTCACAGAGGAGATTTAATGTATTTTTGCAATTATCGCATTAATATATCGTAATTCTAGAGGGATAAGGTTTTTTTTATAACACGGATCATCCATTACAAGGCTGAAGAGCCACTCGTGGTAGAGGGTTTCTGAATATGAGAGGAGGTAGGTGGAGGTAGAAAGAAGTGTAGATTATAAGGATAAGTAGGATTGATTGCGATTGACCCTTGACTTGGAGAGGTTAAGATTGTAGTGTTCAGGGAAGCATCCATGCGGGAGTTCCACAGAGTAGCAGTTCTCAAGAGTCTGAGTGGAACTTCTTCCTTACGAATGCAGTACAAGCGAAGTGTAGGTGATTCGTCTTCGTGGACAGAGAATGGCGAATCTTAGCTGTAAAGGTGAAAGTAAAGCATGGAGTTTATTTGAACATTTGTCATGGAATTA